TCCTCTTCAGAATATGGATACCTCGAAGGAACTCCTGATCTTTTCATACCTACGACCAACGCTGGAGCAGACCCGTCGACTTTCGCTGGACCGGTGGCCTCTTCCACGGAACAGCTGGGGCTGTGAAGCCGCTTGCCCACCGAGCTTCGGGCATCCAGCACCACCTGGATGTGAAGGCGGGACGTCGTGAAGGTTTCAAGGCGACACGGAGATCAAGAGCTTTAGACCACAATCGATCAATTTAAGTATCATATACTATCTTGCAAACCCGTGATGTGCAAGGCATCATCCGTCGGATGACAAAGTTCCAAGGCCCCTTCTCGTGAGATTCGTTCGAAGTGATCAAAACCAATGAACTTTCAGGAATGCGTGGTGACTAGAAAGGCTTCTGCTGTATCTAAATCTACATGTGTCATCATGTTTCATCATTTTTCTGTATACTAGTATGTTGGTCTGCCTGTAGACTGTTGGTCAGCTCGTCTCAACCAGGAATCGGTCGTGGTGCATCCACGTCTCCACTGCCCGGGCCTGATATGAAAGGCCCAGTCCATCCTGAGCCCACGGAGAGCCCACGTTTCCAGTTTTCCTACTAAATTTAGAAACAAAATGAATAGTGCCAGCACGTCTTCAAGAAAGTGAGGACAACACGGAATTGAAAAAAAAGAAACAATTGCAGAGGTCAGTCCAATTCCGGTCACGGACTTGGTCTTAGGGCCGCAGCTCGTTCGAGCCCTGATGTTAAAAGGGCATGGTTTTCAGGGCTGAGTCAACACTGATGCACATGGCAACAAATTCTCGTAATCTTCCTTTTCAGAAAGTGAGATGTTGGAGAACCTCCAGCCCTCGGCCCTCGGAGGTGTTTCTCAGGAACCAAATGGAATCGACTGGGATGATCGGAATCGGCCTCGCTTGCGGCATGGCAACCTGGCAATTTGGCGAGTGTGGTGGGGTTCGCGCTATCCAAGGATTTGGACGCCACACATCTCAGTCTGCAAGGGGCATCTTTCAGAGTCTTAGTAGCATGGAAGTTGTCTCCAACACTGGCTTTCCACGACTTTAGCGACTTTTATATCTTTAACTAACCATTAGTTCTTCTCTAGCTCATTCTAGCACCTTTAGCAGGACCTCCCAGTACCTCTCTATCGCACCTTCACGGTCCAGCAGTTTCAGTGTTTGGCTCCCTGATCGATGGCCTACAGCATCCAGAGCTCGCAAGACCGCTTCAGGTCCTCAGCCCAGCAAACCACACAAATCAAGCAAGCGGCTGCTGTGTAGCTAGGATTCCTAGGATCAAACCTTTTTTTGACAACAAGTTGATTTAGAACGAATAACAATGATTAACAATGCATTTGTTTGTATAGTATACCAGTATCGAATGAACATTTGAGCCCAACTGCTCCAAGCCACCATCTGGCTCGGCGCTCTGCGCTGCGCCACGGAGCCGGCGGAGCAGCTGTGAGGCCTCCGGGCGCGTGATGATGCGCCCGGACCTGGGTGGACGGCAGGTTAGATGGTCGGTGGCCGGTGGTGCAAACATGTGGCAATAAAATCGAAAACTCTGGTCAGAGTGGTTTGCGAAACACTTGTTTAAACACATGAGAAAGCAAAAAAAAACAGGGTTGAATTTGGAGGATCTCTTGTCTTCGGCCCGCAGAGTAGTGAGTTCATCAGGGTGTAGGATGGGTGTTGGGCACGGATGGCAAAAATTCATCTCAGGCAACTCAGCAAGACCCTGCGTGTGCTCCTATTTGAACACTTTGGTGAGGATGTTCCTATTTGGTTTCAAGGAATCCAAGGCTGTTGAGAAGGGTGACCTCCCATGATGTGAATCAAACACTCAAAGAGAGAATGGACAAAGACTTCACAACGCAGTTCAACAAAATACATCCTTGCTGAATCCAGTCCTTTTGTGCACCTTTTGGATCACTGTGCAGATCACCCTTCTCGCTTGCCACAACTTAGCATCCCAGCGTGACCGCTACACCGTTGAGAGTCAGCCGGACCTCGTCATGAGAGTCAGAGAAGTTCTTGGAGGTTTGGAGAATCAGATTGTTCTTTTTCAAACTGAACTGAATCTATACAACTACAAGGTTTTTGTGCACAAGGTGACCTCCATGATCAATGACTAAGGATCTCACTCGATGATAGCATCCTGCAGCAGTCTTGACCTTTGTCATATTCTTGGCACTCCAGACTTGGGTGCTGACCATGATGGATTGTTGTCTCTGAGTATCTCCTCTCCCTCAACAGGAACTTACTACTTCTAACAGCGACTCGGCAAATAGCACCTGGGATCCTGACACACCAAATGTTGCCCCGAAGTCGTGCCAAGCCCTCAGCTGGGACCCCAAGCATCTCAAATGTTTCGAGCAACGAATCACCAATAGTTTCTACAATTGTGCATAGATGTCTTTATGTTGAGACATTCAGACCAAAACGACATCGCAATGCACAGCCGACCATGCCTTTTTGCAGGCACTCTTTTGACCCCATTGCCTCTCCAAACCCTCACTGGTGCTGCGGTGGGGTGCCTTTCTTCGCCTCACAACTAGCACACGGAGGGACTGGCATGGCCCTCTCAGCTCTACTTGACTTTGCTTGGGCGTGCTTAAAGAGCGGAGACACCGAAATCCACTGCACCGCAAATGCCACGTTAGGTTCACTGTTTCTATCGGGAAAAAAAGGCGAAGGAGGCAGGTGGCCTGAAAAGGCTCTCGCGCAAGCCGCAAGCTGGAGAGAAGTACATTGACTTAGCGTGGCAAGAATATGTAAAATAAAGAATCTCGATCGACCTGCCACTGCAAGCCCACAATTGGTTGAGGGTCTTTTCTGCCCACGCAACTCATTCTAGGAATGGCCACAGATCCCTTCGGTTCCTACATTACTCGTCCATCCATCCTTACTGTGCAAAACATCCGGCCAGTCGTACATCGTGTGAAGAATAAATCAGCCCGGTTCCAGCCTGCAATCGTTCCAGCTGTGTCTTTGCTTCCGATTTTGGGAAGTTCCTGATTGCAACAATCTGAAGTAACAGATTGAAGCTGAGCAATCCATTTCAAGGAACAAACATAAGCAGCGCAGCGACTGTCCAGATCAAAAATAGTATGATTCGAATATGTACCCAAAAATCAAAAAATACCTACTGTAAGTCACAACAGCAGCAAGCATACTTTTGTCGTAGTGCTTTGAGAGATGCGTGGGTCCTCCCCAGACCCCGTTCAGGCTAGTCACATCGTGACCATCGAACATTTAAAGAAGAGTGTGGCAGTTCTGGGCATGGAGCTAAGAACGGAACTGGGGGTGTCCTGGCTTGCGGATGCAGGTACCTCAGTCAAGGTAGGTGCAGTGTAACGGTGGCGGCTCTGGCTATCGACCTCAGTCGGGCCCCCCTTTGGCGGAGCAGAGCCGGGGGGTGGACCCATCCTACCATCCTAGATGGGGGAGTGCCGCCTGGGGAAGGAGCAGGCCACGGGCACCTGCTGGACCGTTCCCTGCGACACGGGCGGTGTTCGCTGGAACACACAGATGGAGCAGGGCCTGAGGCACCTGGGCGTGACTTGGCCGCATGTGGGCACTCCTCTGGGGTGTGCTTGTCCGGAGAGGCATTGCACACCCATCCTCCCTGGCGGACAGGAGTTGTGGGAGCGCCCGCAACTTCCGGGGCATGTCCCGGTGAGGTGATAGTCCTGGCAGAAAGCCCTTGGGGTCCTTGAACCCTTGCCCTTAGAAGATCGGCCCTGCCGCCTTTGGGGGTGCCCTTGCCCCCCTTTTCCGCGCTTTGGAGGGTTTGTCCCACTGAGTCTGCCAGACTGGGCCCATTGTTTCCCTCGGTTCTTGCCGGCCCCTTTCACAGTGGGCTTGGGAGTGTTGTTGCAGTACTCATACACCTCCCTCTGCCAAAACCTGAGTGGACCAGGTCGTGGATCTTGCGCCACGCATTGCGCTCGGCAATGTGATGGACCCGGTCCGACGGGGGGAGGTCGGCGGCCCACAATGTCTTCCCCATAGAGCCAATCATACCACTCATCCAATGCATCCTTAGTGATGTGCAGGTGGGCAAACTGGGGTTGGCCGGCGATGCACATCAGCAACGTGGTCCGGAAGACCATGCGCATGCGTTCCAACTGCCGGCGTGTTCTGGGGTCAGCCCTGGTCTCTTCTTCATCTGCCCGGTCCCATCCATCGACCGACACGCCGCAGGGTGCACCGCCGACCCCGGCCATCACAGGAGGGTTGGGTGGGTTTTCAAATACCTTGTCGGCAATGCCACACGCAGTTGCCTTCCCACTTCAGCCAAAATGTCCCGGTGGGACATTTTAGTGATTTTTTGTGAACATAAAACTTGCAACCGCAAGCTCTATGCAAGTGCGAATATAATTCAAACACCATCCCAACAGGCGACCAAACATCTCTTGCATGGGTGAGAGGCAAAACGGCCTGTGTATCCGAGCTAAACCAGCTTCGGAAATCTCGTGGCGTTCATCCTCACAACTCAGCAAGTTCCCTCTGGTGCTTGCCTCACGTCGTAGTAGCTGGGCGCGATCTCCAGAAGCCACTCACCCCGCACCTCGCACACTGCACACGTGCACGTCGTCCACCGCAGCTGTGAGCGTGGACACTGGTGGTGGGAAATCGATATCTAACGCTTCCCACAGTGCTTGGTGAATAAACACTGTTGCGTCCTGTTCTACTGCATCTTGAAACTACAAACCGTCTAGACTGCTTGATGTCAATGCTGTGTAGTCTCCGATCAGTTGCTGTCAGGGCAAAGGCTAGCAATGCATCTAAGTGAGCTACTTTGATCTCCACCCCTTCTCGCGGGTGCCTTTTGTCAAAGACCTGCTGTAAATCAGCCGGTGAACGCAAGATCTCTCCCCTCTACTTTCCTGTCAAGATCCTGCCCCTGACCGCTGACCAGTACAACAAGTTTCTAACAGTTGAACCCTCTGCACAATTGGTGTGGTTGGACAGACAAGGTACTTTGTGATATATACCGCCTACTAAAGTAGTTGGGCGCATTTGGGCATGCCTTTCAGGGGATTTGGATTGGTATAGGAAAGCTTCTCAGCTCTTGTGACCGCAGACCACTGGGATTTGCGACTCATCCAAGCAGCTTGGGTCACCGTCCGGATGAAGTTCTTCGAAGTGAGAACAAACTCGTGGTAAAGGACCTCAGAACCACTGAAATTTGAAAACTGCCAGGATCAAGTCGAAAGCCTTCAAGATTTCCCGGACAACCTCACAAACCTGCAAGCTGCTACCAGCAACTGCTGAGTAGAAATCCTGTGATGGAATCAACATCATTCAATGTCCAGCTTGTGGTTTCCAAGATAGGAAAAGATCCTCTGATTGATCCATCGAACATCGTCGTAGACACATGAGTCAAAGGCAAACCATGGTTGGCTCATGGCTCTAAGTGGATGGACCCACTCAGGCTTGTGAGTAATCCCGGTGGATGGATGTAGCGCCACCACTTGGTTGTCTCTGACCTTGGTCGCTCGGGCACTTGGGCGTCTTTCCAACATGGAACCTCACAACAAGCGTCCTGCAAGGAAAAAAGACAACCAGTGAAGTTGACATACATCATGAATAGTATGACTAGTATGAATAGTATGAATGGTTAATTAATGATTCTGTCTAACACAAAATTGGCTACACGTTTCATTTAATGTTTGTTGCGCTTTCACTGTGAACGAGGAGGATTCCTGCCTTCCGAGGTCCCAAGCTTGAAGGAACGCTTCCCAGTGCAAATGGATGAGGAGGGTGACAACCAGAATCGCTGCCATTAAGCAACCCAGGTCCGGTATTTTATTGGCTCTACATATATAGCTAGCAAACACATGAACCAGTCCAAGAAGCCGTCAAGTAGTGGCTGCTCTTCTCCAAGTGCGCAACTTGCATGAAATATCCTGCAACTAGGCACTTTCCTCGGTGCAAGCAACCACTTTAAACAGCTGAGCACTGTTTAGAATAGAAGCACAAATCAATGAAGACCTACTTCATTCATCCGGGCAACCTGCTCCTTAATGCATTGAGGAACAGTTTGGAGTCCCAAACTACGAAGCACTACTCCAAACAGAGAAATGCAGCTCCAAGCATCTGATGTTGGGATAATACTCCTGGAAGGCATCAATATACGTCAAGCCGCGTTGTTTGAAAAGTCCCTTAGAGTCGTGTTGTGGAGGTAAAGAGATCTACAGTAAAAGATTCCCGCAGCAGAACCATTGTGGGGGTTCCACAAGGTTTGGGTGATGCAACTCCCTCAATTCTCAAACTGACCAGAACAGGGAAGTAAACACGTGTTTGAAGTGGATCAAAGAGAACAGTAGCTATATAGGAGTAGAGAATAGCATGCATTGGATCTGCACCCTCGATGGGTCCACCGCACTCTGTTTGAAACATCCCTGCATGTTTGACCCGTCCTTATCCCTAAAGTCCGTGCTCACCATTGGCCTGGCCAAGCACGGTGCAAGACTGGACAAGAACCACTGGCGAACGACCTAGTAGAAAGTAACAGGAAAACCTTCTGTACACGTGGGATAGGCTCCGAAAAAGAGAGAACCCATCAAAAAGATGTGGCCTTCCTTTGGCACATCAGTCGCTCACTACTGATAATGTCAAATGATACTCGAGTATGACATGACCTATGGATTCTCCGAGCATCCTTCATGACTCCTGCTGCGCCCCTGCACATACCAAAACGTTTCCGAAGCCGGCTCTGCTGGGGCGCCCGGGCAACTGCAGGCGTTCCATGGTCCTCTTCAGTTGCTCACGAACGTTCTCCGCCGACTTCATGGACCTGGTCTTCACAGGAGAAGAAGATCGAGCAACAACCAGGACTAGACCAACACAACTGGAAGCCGACTAGAACGACGTCTATGCACTGGTTGAGGAAGGTGTGATCATGTGATGCACCATATCGTAATCAAGACATATTCTGTCAAAATAACTGGGAACACCTATCCTAGGTTATCGTGGGACATCTAAGTCCATATCCAGTGGAGAAGTATTCTCTCAAAGCCGAAAACCCAGCTCATTTGAGGCCAATAGTGGTTTTCAAAGATTGTGGGACCACAAGGTCCACACAAAACCTGGTTGCCGCATGGCTTTCTTGATTTTGGGGCTGTCGCCTTGAGTTGATGTAGCTGTCGTAGCAGAATTGCGACGGGTCTGCACCCTCCGTCGTGTACTGCTTGTACCTTGGATTTGGCTCAAAAGTGTGGCAAACGCAGAAGGAGGTTGGAAGCTGTCATGCTGTCTCTCCAGTGAGCTTCATTTCCTTAGGCCTCCTTTGTGAAGAAGCCATGAGTGAGACAGTGAGACGGCATGCACTTGTTTGACAAATTTAGGTTGGAAACCACAAGCGCATTCCAAGCTGCGCATGAAACACATTCAGAAGAGTCAAGTGGTCACCATCCAAATGCGTGAAGCGGTTCTTCGCATCATCCGCTTCCTGTGGTCATCATCAAAGCAGGACCAGAAAATGTCCAAGCTCACCGTCACCGTCCCACTCCGCGCCTTGCCAAACTCCTTGGGTCTCACAAAGACATTTGGCACCGAGAGCATGGAGGAAATCGAGAGAATCTCGTTGCTGCACTTGAATTTGGGCCTCAACGGCGGATACCACAAGCAGGCCTTGCACCAAAACCTGTAAGAAGTAAACCGTTTCACTCCAAGTGCCTTGTGCAGTGCTCTTTCGGTCAATCAAATGCTCAACGTGGCTTCCAAATCATCTAGGGGTTCCTGGCCTTACTACTAGGAGCAAGGACGCTACTAGGGGCTCCTGGCATCGCTACTAGAGCAAGGACTCTCTTAGGTTGGAGGCCATCGCTTGGAATCACACACGATCGCTGTGCAACAACTCAGCTTGGCACGAATCGATCAGCATTTTGGCCTTTGGCCGCATAGGGCGTGTCACCACCCATCACACCCATCACAACTCATCACACGCATCTTCTCAGTTGTACCAACACCGTTTGAAGTATGTGGGATCTGCAACTTCTTAGCGGATATATATATATGTGTGTGTGTGTATTATACATATATCATTATCCTCTCTTAAATACAGCAAGCCAGAACGGCGGATAAACTAGAGTAATACATCTTTCGCAGCACTCTCAACAGACTCGGCATCTTAAAATACCTATGTGCCTAAGTTGAGATCGCAATATGAACATGTCTCCTATCGATGGAGAAAGTGCATGTGCCAAGCATTCAGTCATTGTGATGTCTAACGAAACTCTGCAAAGTAATCACGACCCAGGAAGAGTAGTGTGTAAAGAATCATGAGCGAAATGTCAGCCCTGATACCTTTGACCAACTGGGTGCCAGCCTCAAACTTCCTCCAAAGAAGGTTCAAACCAAGAACACAAAGCAAAATAGTACTTGTGGCTATGGGAATCTGTGATTCGCCAAAGTTCTTTCGTGAGCCAAACCAAAATCTCCCAGGATTTTGGAGAGCACAACCTAAAGCTCAAAAATCAGTCAGCCAAAGCAATTCTCCGCCTGCCTCCCTCATCCCCTCAGCCATCTGCACACTGCAAGGAGCATTCTCCACCCAGGTGGTCTGTCAGTCCAAGGTGCCAGTTGAGGGTCCAAGGGGAACTCTGCCGCTTGGTCGCCGGCGTCAGTGAGGTCCCCGTCCTGGTTGGGTTTGGGCGGACTGAGACTTGATGGCCTATCCAAAGAGAACAACCCATCATAGGGTTGTATGTCTAGATCATGAGCATTCCAAGCTGCATCATTGAGGTGATTCAAGAAGTTCAACATTTCCAGCGCCCTCCTGAGCTGTTGGCATCCCCCCCCCATATCCACCAACATGTCCGGCCCCTGTCCGGCCCGCAAGTCTGAGAGGATCGTCCGCCGCAGTTCCCGATGCGAGCGAGCCGCATCATCGTCTCTGGTGCTGGGGGATCCAGGAAATCAAAGTGGACCAAATCGTCAATGCCCAGCTTTTTCAAGGTGAGCACCTTGAAGTACGATGGAACCGCAGGTCTTGGGCAAAGCCCAAAGAACTCTGGCGAAAGGATGTCAGGAACTAGATTCACATGCATTGGTTCCGGGTTCCCTCTGAAGTAGCAAAACCAGACCAGAATCCCTTTGCTGCAGGAATACTGAACACTTCCCATTCGGACACACCCATCCCACATGACCAGCTGCCCCATTCGAAGAAGTCGCTTTGATCTCTCTGAGGCTCGGACCACGACGCCCAGATTGGATCGCAAGATCTCAGGATAGGTTTGCTCCGTCAACTCGGTGGTGAAGGCCTGCATCGGTCGACGGTCGACCGGATCCGGTCAGGTCAGCCGCCCCTGGGTCGATCTACCCCGCCTTCTCCGTGTACAAACCTCAGCGTCTCCAGGAGTCGGTGAGTGATCAGGTTACTGGCTGCACGTCTTATTTTTCACTGAGTTTTCACTGAGTTTGGCGGGTACGGACAATTGAAAACGTATAGAAATCCTTGAAGTTTCTGCAGAAAATGTCAAAGTCGTAGCTGGCCCAAACAAAGAAAACAGCAACTTGGTATGGAACTTCTGTGCAATGGCAAAGCCTTTGAGCTGTTTGCCATAGTTTATACTTTATATATACAGTATCTTTATGTGTGTATATGTACTTTGAACCTTTGTCATCTCCAAGAAACCACTTTCAAATTCTGAGAAGCTGTTTCAATCTGGTTGGGGACCTCTGTATCTTCCCAACCCGGCGTGGAACATCTTCTCCAAAGGCACGGAAGCATTTCCCAGGCCGTGTGCGCCCCGCACGCCCCGCGCGCTGCGCAGCTGAGGCCTGAGAGGTCACACGCATGTTCCACAAGTAGAGTGATGTTCCAGTCTCAAAAGGCAGGTCAAATGATGGCATCAGGTTTGTAATGTTTGACCATTTCACAAGTCTCAGCTAGATAGGTCTGACCTAGAAAGCACAAACATGTAAGAACAGTCATAGTATGCGGCTCTCTTAAGGCATTGTTGAAGCAGCAGGGTCGCCTGGAGACAGTTCTAGCTTCTCTGCCATCGTGGCCGGAGGTAATTGGAACCTAAACAGGAAAGTTGCCTGTTTTCTAGGGAGGTTGTCCTTCTCTCCAATAGTGGCCAAGGTCTCCATGCCATCCGATCTACTTTAGCCTTTGAATCTCCAACTATATAGCTGGGTTGCAATAGACCAGGATCACTTCTCTCAAAATCAACGGACCCTTACAATCCCTTCACAAGTAGCTCTGGAAGGTGCACATATGTGAGATTCCCAAGTCTTCCAAACATCCCCAACAAACCCGCTATTTCCAGGTCGAGCCTTCGACACAGGAGACACAAGCAGGGACTCTACGCGGATTCGAGGGTTGTACACCTGATGCACAAACGAAATGCCACTGAGAAAACGAAATGCCACTGAGAGGATAACATGCCAATGTCACGTCCTTGCAAAGACTTGGGGATTCCTACTGTTGTCATCTGTTGCTTCTGCGATGTTAAAAAAAGTACAGTACAACAATTTGGAATCTTGGAAGAGTAACGTTGATATCCCCAATGGTCAACTGTAAAAGCAAAACTCCCTGGACTGAATCTGATGACAAGCCGTTTCTTTTTGATTTTTTTAAGCGAGTGAAAGTCATTCAGAATCAAAGATCAAAGGGGGGGCAGGATTTGGATGTGCTTCTTTTCTGGGGGGCCTCCGGAACTGTGACCCCCACCCGCATGCAAGCATTCCTGAACGGACTGATCTGCAAAACAGAAACATTTGATTGATTATTGATTGTTGGATCTACCAAGTCAAAGATTCCACTTGAAGGAACCAGAAAGCAGGGCGTGATCATGCCAGCAGAACTGAACATGGTTCAAAATGTCAGGATTTGGAGGAGATTAAATCAAGTGTCATGTGTCATGCTTCGTGGAGCGTCGTGGACCCAAGAGCCTTCTGCTTCGCGAAGCCCGGATCCACCACATAGACGATGCCATCAATGGTGATGGAGGTCTCTGCAATGTTTGTAGCAACAACTACTTTCCTGCACAACTCTGGGCGTGATAGAAAGGCACCAAGACATGATGTGTGGAATTTTATGGACACCGTTGAAGGAGTCGAAGCAGCTCCAAGCAGCTCCAACACCCACCGGTCACCATGAGTCACCGTCTCCTTCCAGGCGGTGCACCGGCGAAGCGGGGGCCGGGCGCCGGCTCGAAGATCTTCTGCTGTAGCTGCGGAGGCAAGGACGAGTAAAGGGGCACAGCCACCTGGGGGACATGAACACTGCGATTCGAGTGGGATTTGAGATGATTCGAGTGGGGGTAAATGCAAAGCAGGTGGAGTTTTGTGCATGTCATTCATTTGGTAAAGATTGGTGAAGTGCACATAGATTCGAAGGCCTCTGAGGTTAGGAAATGTTTGAAGGGTCGAGGGACATGCTTGGATGAAACTGATGTTCTGCCAGATCCCTTTGAGCAATGCTAGACGCTCCAAACAATTCTTGCGAACCTCAACGCTGAGAGATTCGAGAACCTAGACTTGGACCCGTCCAAAAAGAGGGTGCAAGCCCTGGTAAAACCAAAAAGTGGTACAATAAGCTCCACCGACCTCCCCACACACACAAGGAAGAGGTGTTCACCAAATTGGCCTTACTTTTTTCCCCATGCCCGCTAGAGAGACCGAGGGTTTCATCCATTTCTGCCAGAACACAGCGAGGGGGTCTGTGGGGATCCGCCACAAGCGTGGAGTTTTCAGCCAAGGGACGAGTTCGCCATTCTCCGGAAATCGCGAGCTCTCCTTCCGGAGCTGTCCTGACAATAACAGACCATCAAGTGTTCCACAAGGACAAAAAATCCTGTGATTCAACACCTACTTCAAGAGCACATTTAACACACAGAAGAGGCGACATCCGCAACACAATGTCTCTTTTGAGCTCCATGAGCACCCTGTGTCTCTCACAGATCTGAGCTCTTGAGGTCCAAGAGGCGACACGCTTGCTCGATCTCCTCTTCGCCCGTGAGAAACAAAAGGATGTCCCCTTCAGGCTCTGAGTTGTGGATCCTCAGATGCACAGAGGCACCTCCTTGAGAAAAAACAACACACACAGATTGTGGGAGGACAACACAGAAATTGAAACAAAAACATGCTTGGACAGTTGGTTGGGACATCTCTTCAGGATAACCTGACCTTTTCAGCAAAGATTCTGCACCACTGTTCTCATGGCTGCTTCCAAATAGTCCTCGGAGTACAGGATGCAACCGCTCAGTCAAGCAGGGAAGCGTCTGTTGGTGGTACGGGGTCCTCCCACCACGTTTCTTCCATCCATTGTGTTCTAGTACAGTGTGAGGTGATGGTTGTACCATGTGTGCCAGTGTAATTTGCCTAGTCAAATGCTACGGGTATCAACATCAGATCATGCGGCCAGTCTCGATCGATCAGAATCCAACGTTCCTTCCCATGAAGGGCTAGACAGGTTGGGGAGGTCTCTGGGAGACCAACCCAGACGATTTCGGGAGACCCAAAGAAATGCCAAGGATCTCTTTCTGGCTCTGAAGTGTAGAAAATCTCCACAGGGTGTGTTCTGCCAGGGATGTTCAGCAATGGCGCATTGTCCTCGGAGCACAACCAGGAAGCTCTGAGTGACATGAGTCAACGAAAGCTGCAGTGGGGATGAAACTGGCTCATTGATCAGAGCAAACTTAGTGAACCCAAAAAAAGAAGTAAGCCCAGGACAAAGTACCCCTGCATCTTCTGCGCATCCATCGTCGCAGACCTCGGAAGCTGAGCAAGCTTTGCTCCGGACCTAGCATGATAATATCTGGCTTGCCCACACTCAAAACACCCTTCAAGCACCAATTGTGGCAAGTCCTAGTGCCCTTCGCTCGATCACTTGATAATAGCTTTTGACTAAGGTGACTTTCGGCATGCCAACTAAAAAGGCTGAGATGATGATAATCGCCGTCCGAATGACTGGCTCATTATTTGCCCAGTAGAATAACCATTCCCATCAGCCGAGGCACATGACCACCAGCTTCAGGTCTTGCCTTCGTTTCATGACCTCCTTGATCAACCCGAAGAGGACCTTGCTGGAAAATCATCCAGCAACAGACTCGTCGGGTTGTTTGGTCGTCGGAGAAAACCCCTGCAATTCCAGTGGAGGTGGATTCTGGGAGCCCAAGAACGCCTAGCCCAAGAACGCCTAATGAAACAACTAAAGAACTATCAACTATCATAATCTAAATGAAACAATTGTCATAACCACCTAATATCATCTGACACCATCTGACATTTGGTCATGGTCCGACCAGAACCCTACCAGACTACAGCTGTTGAAGAAGTGAAAACGGTGACGCCTGATGGGTCACGCACCCACACGGTGTGTTGGATCTCTGCGAAATCGACTGTGCAGTTGGATCTTTGAGCGACCGACACAATCAGGTCCAGAGTTCTCAGGAGAAGCAGCGTTCCCGGGAGATCCAGTGGCTGGAGGTCGCCAAGTGTGTTTGAGATGCACCGATGTCAGCAACACGGCACATCCTTACATAGGGTCGTGTCACAGCCAGAATGCCAAGTAGACATCCTCAAAAATATAAAACGTAACAAAGCCCCTGTTGGATTAGCGGTTGCTTCAGCTCCGTCCCCGTCCAACTTCGGCCTTTCCATCCAAAGCGACGTCTGTGGCAAGCGTGCGCTCGTGCGCTTCATCTAAGATGATCACACTATACCTCGTGGCGAGCGGGGGCTTGGGACATTTCCACCGGACCACCTCACCCACCAGACAATCCAAAAACGGCACAGGCCACACATCAAGTCTGCGAATGAAGTGAAACGACGGCATCGTCCTGGTTGAGTAGATGGAAACCTTGAACTGGGAATGGTGCATAAGTTCTGTCATAGTTTGTGCATCAAAAGTACGCCACGAAGATCTTTCATCACACAGTCCTTTGCTTGTTGGCACCTTCAATATATATATATATATACCCATACATACTACCAGTATTTTATACATACAGAAACACGGTGAGTTTGAGATAGGCGGCTTGGTGAGCAAGGGATCCGTCATCGCCTCGCGCCTCAGTGGCCAGCGGGCCCACCAGGCCGGTCGGCGCAGGTCCGTGTCACAGGTCCGTCCGTTGTGTGTCACCACGGTGGACATGACAGGGTGCCTTCAGCTGATCTGAGGCATTGGTCAACATTGGTAACATGAATACACCTTGATGTCCACGCACCGCTCGTCTGAACATAGATGTTCTAGAAGCCTTGCCACTCACCATGCTTGGTGTTATCCAAGAAATCCAACAATTACGTTCGTGGGTTGCTGTACCATATTGAGATAGAAAGGGGCAGCCAGGATTCCTCCAAATTTTGCGCAGGGCTTCCACCAGAGTCGAACAAAAATGACATACAAGCTGGATCAGCATGGGATGGGCGCATGGGGTGGGCTCTGAGTTGAACGAGTGCTACGTACGCTCAAGTTCTCATTCTTCTGTGCTGAGCAACTCACTTCTTCAAAATCAAGAGTCATTGGTCATTGCTCTTCAGCCGAAGGTATTGTGGCTATCACCCTGAGAAATAGTGCTAAAGAAACACTCAAAGCAAAACAAGGCACAGGAAGGTCAAACCCAGGTCAACTTTCCTTGAATTCGTTACTGTTTGAATTGCCCAGCTTTTGATTTATGTTCTATCACTTTAGGATAGCTGCCCCAGTGCATCTGAGTTGTACTTGAGAGTGGGTGAGAAAGTTATATAGAGAAGAACGAGCTGAAACCAAGCACCACAATGAACACAATGCACCTGTCACTATGGCTTATCTAGACTTCAAGCATCAAGAAACCTGCAAAATGAGACATTGCCCAAACAACGACAACAACAACCACAACGACAACAAGAACAACAACCACCACGGCCACAACCATAACGACAACGACAACGACAGCAGCAACAACAACGACAACAAATGTATAACAATGTCACGTCCACCGTTGAAATCATTCCCGAGCAGCAGCAGCATCCCATCCTCGGTGCAAATCGGAGTGAGCGAGACCACAAAAAGCGCTTTTGGACCAAAGCATGCAGCATGATGAACTGCACTGCGAACAGGAACTCAGGACCTTGTAGCAAAGGTCAGAATTCAGAACCTCACCCAAGAACTTTTCGCCAACCTTGGGAGCTTTTGGAGCCCATCTGGCCCATCAACCTAAGTCCTTCGAGCTCTCTCAGACGAGCAACCGTTAGGAACTTCAAGATCGTCTCTGTGGAAGTCTTGTCCTGAACAGGGGAACACCAGTGGCGGTAGCCTTCCTCCTCGGTCTCGTTTGCGTTTGGTGAGGCCTCTTTCCTTAACTGTTGCTTCAAGCATGCATGTGGCACTGGAGGTTCTCACAGCGAAAATGGCAAAAGTAGAATGAACGAACCCAGACAACCCTGCGCCTCGAACCGAATGAGATATCCCACGTGGGCACCCAGCATTGTATCTAATTCGTCAGCCACTCGCTGTGCTACCTCGGCTGAGTCTCAACCCACATGGCTCATACGACTTCACAGCACCCTCAAACGGCCCATCAACATGATCAACCATACTCCCAGGCATGTGAACACTTAAAGCCTTTCTGACCTGCCACTTTGATCTTGCACAACCTGAGAGCCTACAACGAGCTTAGAACATCTTAGAACCGGATTCTGAAACCAATTGGTCAGATTCTGAAACTGCCGTTCTGAAACTGCGGTTCCAAAAAGCTGGGATTCTGAAAATGGATTACAGTAGATCTGCAACTGGGTTTCTGAAGACTAGGCTTCTGAAACTGTGCTCCGCATGGCACTTTCTGAACCCACTTTTGGTGTCACAGTTTAAGGAACTCATGAGCCCTTGAAGACCATAGTTTCAGAATCCGACCCTAGTAGACTGCTGTGGCTTGAAACTGATAGTTCGGAATTGATTGAAGCTGTAACCTGGTGAGGAATCGGTGCCACGAAGGCGAAAAAAACCACAACCAACACCAACACCGCGCTAACGTCATCCACAGTCATCCTAGATGAGCCAAACGTTGAGGCAAACGAGTCCTGACACATCGGTTTAAAGAACAAAACACGGTAGTGCAGCGGATGACTACAACATTGCGGAAGCCCATTTGCGGCTTCCCATCCCAGTTGTAGAACCTCCTTTGCGTATTCCCAACGCGAAACCCCAGCTTCGAAACTGGTTGCGGAATCCGTTTTGCAGAAGCGGTCGAATCCCGCATGGTATGAGCCCTGGACCCCCCCCATTCAACCCAACCCTGCCCAGCTTTCTTCCAGAGTTGTGGACCTCAGCGGCTGCCAAATAGTTCTCAGCCGCAGAATCCGAGTTGCGGAATCCAAACACTTGCGGCTTGCGGAGTCCCACTTAATCCAGTCCAGTTGCGGAATCCGACTTTATCCCCTTGAGGAACCGGATATGTTTTACAGTTTTACACCAAGCGTGACCGCCCAACCACCCACCTGGCTGCGACCGGTGGACACTCATGGCTGCGACCCGCCGAGGCTGCGTGCACGCAATGCCTGACCGGTGGATAGGCTGCGGGTCACAGGTCAGGCATTCACATCACTATCCAGTGATTCATGGGGATCGCCATGGCGATGCACCAATAGGCGCAAAAGCCTAGGGCCTAGATCACATTGTATGGTGAACTGAAAGGTAAGCCCTCCCAGGCGAGCAGTGCCTTTAGGCTTGTCGCCAGCCATGTGGTAGCCAGCCTCTCAAAAAACAGACTGTCTTTCAATCTCAGTATCTGAAGTTCTGAAGAAGCACACGGAGTGTGAACAGCCAGCAGTTGACTTGAACCAAGGAGTACAAGAAGAGGGATTTGGGAAATGACCATAAACTTTTTGGGTCGGAACCCAAACCACAACTATCAAAAGCATCTTCACAAACAATGCAACTTAAAACTTCAGTGCATTGACCAGGCGTTTCTTCCTTGAAAGCAGAATCCTTGTCAAGTACATACATGCAACTGTGCAATCAGCTGGTAACACCACGCCAACCAGTCACTCGCCATGCGTGCCATCAGAGGCCTCCAGCAAAAAACTGCGGCAACTGAGTTGTCTTGCCAGAGCCAGTCTCGCCAACCAGCACCACAGTCTGATTCCGCTTGATGAGTTTCAGGAACTCTTTCCTGCGCTTGGAGGCCCATTGATGCTAGGGCCTACCACGCAGGCTCTAGAGCTCCAGAAGACAAGCAGAAAGAACTTCTAGAAGAAAGTGCTTCTTCGGGTGTTTTTCCTCAAAGGCAGCAGGTTGTCCTTCCTTTAATATGTCACCTCCTTCACAGCTGGGCAGTTGGTCTTTTGGTGTCTATCCAGCACAGCAAAAAAATAACTTTTGTCGCACGATCACTCAAGAAACACACAGCTGCCCATCGATCCCTCCTTGCTTCCCATGCTGGCAGCTTCTGCCGCTTTTCAAGGATGTCATAGTAACCTTTGCTGTGCATGTGGGCTTCCGATGGAGTGGGCGAAATCTGGATGTGGATGTAGCAGGAAACTAGAGTTTCCTGAAGTGGTGTTGTGTCAAAGCTGAAGCTTCAGGACAGCCTTGAATGTGTTTGACAAGACGTAGGTGTTGGATGTTTTGGGGCAAAGCAACCACAAGACTTGGTTGATGCGATCTTCCAACACTTCACTTCCCTCAAGTCAAGATCCAGGAACCAAATTATTAGTGCGAGATAGTGCGAGTGCTTCTTCAAGGAAGCTCCCCCGCCTGAGTCCGGCGACTAAAAGCTAACTAGTATATAGCTAGTAGCGAACTACTCCCTTGCTTAATTAGGCAGGCGCCTACTTTCTTTGCTGAAGTAGGAGCGGGCTAAAAGATAAGAACAGACTCCCCGGAACAAGACTTGGGTCATTTGCTGAAACCTCTAGACCGCGATGAAGTTCAGTAAAGCTCTGGCAAACCCAACAGCTCGACGTTGAGGGGATTCAGAATTCAACTTCAATATCTTCCATGTGAACACAGGAGGTAGACATGTTTTCAGAGGTTTAGCAGTTGAGCCTGCTCAAAGCTGTGGCTTGCGAGGGTTTGCGCCGTAAATCCACTCACAATGCACTGTGCGTCAATCAACTGAAGTCCACATGGTGACCAAGGCATGATTCCTGTTCTTTTCAAAGACATGAGGACACACATGGAAGAATGGCCAAAGTGAAGCCCACACACCAGAACAGCAAGGTGTGTGCCCCCACATGCGAGATCCTTTCAATTTTTTGTTTCCAAGGTCCTCATCTTCATGTCGCTCCACATGTTTCAACACCCATCCTTGTGCTACCTGCATCCCCCCCAGTGCCTTGAAACAAACATCATCCCACCTAGTCTTTTAACGTCTTTTCAGGCTCCGACACCAAGAGCTTCGAACCTTCGCAAAGCCCGTCTCCCCGCCGCCCAAGCGGCGATCGGAGAAGGATCGCTCCGTGAGGGGATTCACCGTGGGCTTCTCCATGGGTTTTTCCGTCCGCGCCTGCCGTTGAATACAGGTGACCGGAGCAAATGGAGGCAAATTTTTCATTGACGTTGTTCCAACAATCTCGGAAGTCTTTTTGTACATCAGCGCACTTTTCTTGCATGTTGGTGGGGTTTCTTCTGTGGGAGTCAGACCCCAAATGGATCAGCTGCGGGGATTGGGCTGCTAAGTGCAAGCCTGGTGCCATCTGGGAGCTGCAAATGAAATGTATTCAAATACATTATATTATATAGTAGTAGGCCAGCAGTTAGAATATTAAAAAAGGGGTAGTATGCAGTTAGAATACCTGATTTTCTTGAACCACAGGGTGTTACATTCTTGCAGTTAGAATAATGCCTACACACTCGCGGTTAGAACGGCTGTGCATCGGAAAATTCCTACTCAGCTTATCTTGGCTTTGGTTCAAAGTATAAATCCTACCGGGTCGAAAGGAAAAACAAATCCAAAAGATGCTAAGTTAAAGTCTGTTAGTTATACATCCGTTGCTGCGTAATATATCGTTATGTTCTATATGCATGTTGAACTATTCTATCTGCATGGAGATATTCTATCTGCACTGTTTTTCACCCGGACGTCCGTTTTCCACAGGTTCCAAGCACGTGCAAATGAGAAGTGCGAAAGTCATCGAGTACGCAACAGAACAAAACAACAGTTCCATCCACTTACCTGCCACTTCTGGTGGAAACTCATCCCAACTGAAGTGTGTTTGTGTGTTATCCAAGGTAGAGGCTTGACATCTAGCCTCTCTCCAAGAAGCATTGAACTGTATGGCGAAGCTGCTGAAAAATGTTGCTAGAAAGCCCATCTTCCAGTTCCCCCTCTGTTGAAGGCTCTGGCTCTGGCTCTCTCTCTCTCTCTCTCGCTCTCGCTCGGTGGTGGACACAACAGCAACTACCAATCACAGCCCCCCTCTTAAAGTGTCCTTTCATATGACTCATCGAAACGTAAACAGCTGATTAATTGCTGACTGGAGTGGAAGTGGAATACCCCCCCTGTACAGGAGGATAGGTATCCTTTGTGAGAGCATGGCGATGGAGCACCTTCTTCACTGGCGGGCCGTCTTGGGACTCCATGGCGTCTGCCGGCAGAGTGGTTTGAAGCTGCTTTGGTTCACAAGCTTGGTAAAAGCTGCGCAGGTCGCAAACATCGAGCTGGGCTGTTGAGGGTGCTAGGAATGTTGGATTTCACTTAAGACTCGAGCCGGGCGAACATGCAACATCGTGTCTGGCGTAGTCTTTGATGAGTCTCTTGCTGCGGTATTTTGTTCGTAGCCTAAGAGACATGTCGTGTTCATGTGTGGCAAATGGCATTGCTTCCATGAAGGGGTGCTGAGATAACTGCAGACATGAATGCACGCATGCAAGTGATGCAGATTGTTCCTGACTGAATCCACATGAAGCTTTCCTTCCATACAAAAGGAGCCGGAATCTCATAGGTACACGATCGCTTCGAGGAAGAAAGCGAGTGCAGGAAATCCAAGAAGCAGGCCCTCCTCACGGATGTCCTGCAAATGCGCAAATCGGCTTGCTGTTTTTTTTGAACCTGTGGTGAGAAGTTTTTTTAAGGATACAAACCAGCCAGATCATTTGTAGAATCCCATCCATCCAAGTCGATCCAAGGTCTGCGGCGTCTTGGCCCATCGAAGAGAAACAAATAACAGCCACTGTTGAATTTCGATTCTGGCTCAACCGTAGATCTTGTCAGAGATAGAGAGAGAGAGAGAGCCTCAAAGTGGAATTTGGAAACCCAAGCAAGCTGACAGGTCGATCTACAATGGATGTTTTGCTGGATCACTGGTCCATGACTCTATAACTATAACTATAATAAGCCAAACCATGGGAAATTCCCTGTAACATCCTGTAACAATGGATGTTTTCTGCTCTGCACCTTGGCATCCAAGTCCCTTTGGTCTTCAACAAAGCAATCACTGTGGCTGGGTTGATTGAGGCCGCCGATGCCGTTGCAACCGATCGATCGTCTCGACGTGACGTCGACCACGTGGCGTCGCCAAAGCCGAACATGACCGTTGCTGGGTGGGTGGGGGGGAGCCAATGACTGTTACCCCCTTCTTGTAGACTACCTATTCACCGGTGGATGAATTGTCCCTGGCCTTCCCGAATCACCCTGACCTGTGTGAAGCGTGCCTGAGCACATCTGGCACTCGATTCCGCTGCGCCTGTGGTGCCACACTAGTAGGTAAAGGCCATAGTAAGGACTAAGAAAAAGAATCCGCTGGAGGATGGGGGTGAAGGCCAGTTGAGACATCCTGATCATCATATCATGTCCTCTGAGTGTCCTCTTCCTAATCTGGATCTTGATTGATATCTTGGTCTGGCGGTGGAGGACAAACATTCTTCATCAGTGCCTGGCAAGTCTGCATGTACATACAGGATGAAGCCCCTCCTTGTTCAGTTCACCTAGTCGAATAATCAGCTATCACTATCACACACTGCGAAGAAACAGACCTTTCTTTGTAAGGCTCGTCTATTTTGAGAAAGTAGAACAGCTTCCTCGGACACAACCAAAAGAAATGTTTATCAAGAAAACACAGCAAGAGCACCTGCAGATCTCACGAAAATCCATCAAGATTGCGCCTCGCGCAAGGAGATCAATTCCTGCCTCAGGCCCTGACGTGGGAAAATTTACCCCAAGCAATGCGACTCTTCCAAGGCTGACCTGACGCTCCTTTGTTTAAGTTTAGCCCACCCAATGAAACCAGTCCTCTGGTCTCAGCGCCGAAAGGCTACACTGGCTGCAAATGTCTGAGAATGTCACAAAAAAAAGAAACAAGACCCGACTCAGCTCTGGTGACTCCTTGTTGATTGAGAACGTGATTGCAAAGCGTCAATATGGCCAAGCAAGGCAAAAGAACAAAAGCGGAAGAGAAACAAAAGGCCAACAAACGGCAAAAGGAAGAATGCAAAACGGGCAAAAGGCAAGAAAGGCAGGGAAAGAAGGGCGCATAAAGGCAAAAAGCAAGGTGCAAACAAAACCTGAAAATCATGTCATACACAAAATACAATTTGGCAAAACGATAAGGGAAAAAAGTGCCTTCAGTTGCCTTCAGATTGCATGATCTTGCCATTTGGATTTGCTTTTTCTCCTAAAACAACCATTTTGAGTTGCTTGATTCGAAACACTAGTAATTAGCATCCTTGTTACTAGTAGCTACTTGCTCCTAGTCGTATGGCCAGGAGCCCCTAGTAGCGTCCTTGCTCCTAGTAGCGATGCCAGGAGCCCCTTGTCTGCCTGCTGCCTTCTTTTTTATCAGCTTTTGGCCTCCGTCCACAACACTGCTGTGCGCAACCAACCAAAAGCCGCCTGGCTGAGGCTGGTGATGATCTTTTGCCGCTGAATTGGGCCAGCTTTGGATAAAGCCTGGCGGAGTGATGGGTTTTGTACTTCATTTGCATGCATGGGAAGAGAGTCTGTAGGTTTGTCTCAAAATGGGAGAATGAACCCTTTCAGACCCTGCAAGAAAATCGATTGGGGCGTTCCCCGCTCCTTTCAGCTCACCAAAGCCGGCCAAGTGGGTGAAGCACGCACATGGAAGGCATGCCCCGAGCTACACAGTCAAGGGCCAAGACACCACATCTACTAGTAGTAACAAGAAGCTATTAGAAACAATAAGACACCTAGACTCTTTCCACATCGCTCAAAAGGTCTCCCTTTCCTCGTCCTGCAAAGGACTCACAATCTCTCCCGCTGTCATATTATAACATGGAGTGTCTGACCTTCTGACCGGTCAAGAAAGAAACCACACCTCTGCAGTTTTGCGGGCTCTTCAGACTGAATATCAGTTCTTCCTTCGGACTGAAATAGCTAAACATCCTGAAGATCCAGCAGTTCAAGTCCTGCCTCACAAAGCTGCCGACACGCAATCATGAGCCTCCGTGCCGCCTGGCAACTCCGTGTCTCGAATCATTCCGTGTGTCACATCAGCGAACGAAAATCCCAAGGTAGCTTCTTGTTACGTTCGT